ACTGATCAGAAGAGACAAAAAAGGATACTACACAGTGGTTAAGGGAACTACTCAACAGGAAGAAATAACAATTATAAACATATATGTACCAATCAACAGTGCACCTAACTTCATAAAACAAACACTACTGGACATAAAAAAATCAGTTAAACATCAATACAATTATAGTGGGGGACCATAATCCCCCATCATCATAAACAAAATCAACTAAAATATTAGCAAAGAAATATCAGAGTTGAACCAAATCTTTGAACAAGTGGACTTAATAGATATACAGTGTTCCATCCAACAACAGAATATACATTCAATAGCTGAGGATTTAGCTCAGTGGTTCCAGTGCCTGCCTCCCAAGTTCAAGGTCCCGAGTTTGATCCCCAGTACCAAAAAAGAAAGAATACACATTCAACAGCACATGGAATGTATTCCAAAATAGACTGTGTACTAGCCAATAAAGCATGTTTAAATAAATGCAAAAGCATCAAAATTTTCTATGCATATTACCAGATAATAGTGCAATGAACTAGAAATCAATGCCAAAAGAAACCACAGAAATTATGCAAATGCATGGAAATTAAACAACACACTCCTGAATTATCAGTGAGTTACAGAAGAAATTAAGATGAAATATGAAAGTTCCTAGAAATGACAATACCAATACAACATACTAGAATTTATGGAACACAATGAAAGCAGTCCTAAGAGTGAAGTTGCTGTGAATGCTCACATCAGAAAAATTGAGGGAGCCCAAACAAATATCCTCATGATGCATTTCAAGGTCCTAGAAAAATAAGAAAAATCCAAATCGAGCTAGTACAAAAAGGAAAATTATAAAGATGAGAGCAGGTATCAATGAAATGGACACTTATAAAAAAAACAATACAAAGAATCAATGAATCAAAGAGCTGGTTCTTTGAAAGAATAAACAAAATGGAGAAATCTTTAACCAAAAAAAAGTCAAGAAGAGGAACAAATCACTGCACTTAGAAATAAAAAAGGTGTGGGCCAGGGCTTTAGCTGAGTGGTTTTGCCGCCTGCTGCGCAAGCGCAAGGACCCGAGTTTGATCCCAAGTACCAAAAAAAAAAAGAAATAAAAAAGGTGAACTAACAAGGGACACCGCTGAAATCCAGATGATTAGCAAGCACTGTACTTCACAAACTTGTATGCCAACAAATTGGAGAACTCAGAGAAATGGAAAGATTCCTAGATAAGCATGAATTACCAAAACTGAACTAAGACTTAAAAATCCTGAATAATCTAAAAACAGGAAATGAAATTGAAGCAGTAAAAAACAAACAAACAACAACAGCAAAAAACACTAGCAAATAAGAAAAGTCCAGGACATAATGGATTCACTGCTAAATTCCATAAAAACTTTAGGGAATATATAACTCCAATACTCCTCAAACTCTTTAATGAAATCAAAAGAAAAAGAGTACTCCCAAAGTCATTTCTGGAAGATAGCATCATGCTGATTCCAAAAGCAGACCAAGGATCCAACCAAAAGAGAGAACTACTAATGAACATAGATGTGAAAGTCCTCAACAAGATACTGGTAAACAGAATGTAATAAATCATCAAAAAGATCATACACTATAACCAAGCAAGCTTCATCCCAGGGTGCAAGGTTGGCTCAACATATGCAAATCAGTAAATGTAATACATCACATAAATTGAAGCTAGGACAAAACTCACATGGATCATCTCAATAAATGCTGAAAAAAAAATCTTTGAAAAAAATTCAACACTCATTCATAACTTTTTGTTGTTGTTGTTTATTTTTGTGTGAGACAGGGTCTCACTATGCAGTTCAGGGTGGTCTTGAACTCGCTATATGGCCCAACTAGCCTTGAATTCACTGGGATTCTCAGGCCTCAGCCTCCCCAGTCCTGGCATTACAGGCATGCACCACCATGCCCAGCACACCTATTCATGATTGATAAAAAAAAAAAACTGAAGGAAATAGATACAGATATTCCTCCTTTAATGATCTACTGTACCCGTTTAATGACTGTACCTGGACTTATGACTGAAGTGTGCTGTTTGGACTTACGACCCATCTTTTTCTTTTTTGTATAGCTCTGTACATCTTGTTTATAGAGTTTCAATGTTAAGTACACCTTGTTCATACAGTACTGTAATTTTTGCTGATTGTACTATACAGTACTGTAGTTTTATGTTGTTATACATTATAGTACTACATGTAAGAGTTATCCAAATAAAAGCAGAGATATCAAGTTGGAGTTTTACCATTTCTTTGTTCTGAATATTGGGTTTTTTTGGTACTGGGGATCAAACTCAGGACACCTTGTGCTTGCCAGGCAGGTGATGGAATCACTGAGCTAAATCCCCAGCCCTGTTCTGAATACTGTAATGTACATACTATATACAATTTCTCATTTAGCAACCAATTCATTTAACGATCAAGTTGCAGGACCATAAGTCAGTCATTAAATGAGGAATGTCTGTATATAAAGAAGTCAAAAAAATTAGCCCCCCTCAAAATGAAAAAAATGATCAAGTGAAATAAATCCACATTCTCAGAAGTAAAAATGACCAATAAATACATGAAAAAATGTTCAATATCACAGAGGAAATCAAATAATAAATGCTGGAGAAGCTGCAGGGAAAACAGAACCCTTCTACATTGTTGGTGGGAATGTAAAGTACTATAATTACTATGGAAATTAGTATGAAGAGTTCTCAAAAAATTAAAAATAGAAATTCCATTTGACCCAGCTACTCCTCTTCTAGGTATCTTCCCAAAAGAGTTAAAGTCATCATACTACAGTGATACATGCATACCCATATTTACAGAATCAGTTTTTTCTTTTTCTTTTTTTTTTTTGTACCAGGGATCAAACTCAGGACCTTGCACTTGCTAGGCAGGTGCTGTGCTGCTGAGCTACATCTCTGCCCCCCCGCCTCCCTTTTTTTGAGACAGGATCTTGCTATGTAGTTCAGGCTGGCCTCCAACTCACAGTGATCCTCCTGCCTCAGCCTCCCAAGTGCTGGGACTACAGGCATGTGCCACTATGCTCAGTTACAGCATCACAATTTCTTCTTTTTTTTTTTTTTGATACCGGGGATCGAACTTGGGACCTTGTGCTTGCCAGGCAGGTGGTGGAACCTCTGAGCTAAATCCGTGGCCCTGCATCACAATTTCTAATAGCTACATCTTGGAAATGGCCTATATACCCATCAACATCAATGCATTAAGAAAATGTGGCATTTATATGCAATAGAATACTACTCTGCCATAAAGAATGATAAACTTGAGGCTTACATAGGTTAAATGGATGCGCCTTGAGTTCATAATATTAAGTGAAATAAATCAGACACACAAGCTTAAATACCACATGGTTTCACTTATACGAGAAACCCAAAATATAAATTAACAAAATAAAAGAGATAACAAGAAGTAGGAAGATCTTTTTCAAATGGGAAGCGAAACAAGAGATGGAGAGGAGGAGGAGGGATGGAAGGAAAGGGGATGGAAAAAGAATTGAGGGAAAAATTGGAAATAGCTTTTAGAAATGGGAAGGGACAAGGAAGAATGGCAGATGTAGGGGATGAAAAAGAGAATTAAGTGGTACTATGTACATTTACCAACTCCCTATGATAAATGTAATCATGTACTGCAAACATTTAATAAAAAAATAATGAAGGGCAGGAGTACAGCTCAGTGATAGAGCTCTTGTCTGTCCTGCACTGGATCCCCAGCAAAAAACAAATAAACAAAACACAAACATAAAGACATCTGAAGACACTTCCTTGTGATCCAAATAATTAGCAATAAAACTTACACCAACATTTCCAGCCAGGTACAGTGGTACCCATAATCCTAGCTACTGGGGAGGCTAGACAAGAGGATTGCAGGCTCAAAGCCAACCTGGGAAACTGGTGATACTGTCTCAAAACAAAAAATAAAAAGGACTAGAGCTGTAATGTAGCTCAGGATACCTTAGGTTCAATCCCCAGTTAGGAAGAGGGGAAGGGGAAGGGGAAGCATTCCCCAATTATTCAAGAATTTAAGTAGAACTAGTAGAAGTCATAAATGTTGACTGGTATGTATTTATTTATTTATATTTTATTTATTGTTTTTTTAGACAGGATCTCACTATGTAAGTTAGGCTGGCCTTGAACTCACAGCAATCCTCCTGCCTCAGCTTCCCAAGTGGCTGAGATTACAGGCATGCATCACCATACCCAGCCTGGTGTATTTTTAGATAAGCAAGTTATATACCCTCAAATATAAATTAGAAGCAACCAGAATACCTAAATTAAAAAGCACCATAAAGAAGTACTCAGTTATTACTAATATATCTAGACAGCCACAAGTTTAGGTTTCCCAAGGGAAACACCTTAGGAAATCTCCAGAAGTAAAAAGCTAACTATATACATCTTGTCAGTTCTTTAAGAGGAGCATGAACCTCAAGTGGTGAGGACCCCAAGCCACAAAAGCAATAATTCCAACTTACAAAGTAAATCTCATTTTTCTTCTACTCTAATGGGCAGCAAGAGGTAAAGGACAATACACAGCAACCAAGGATTTTTAAAATTACGCAATATTGACTGCATTTTAAAATGTATGTGACAAAGCTGGGCATGGCGGCACACGCCTGTAATCCCAGTACTTGGGAGGCTGAGCAGGATCACTTTGAGTTCAAGGCCAGCCTGGGCTACATAGTAGATGCAAGGCCAGCCTAAACTACATAGTGAGACCTTGTCTCAAAAGAAAAATAAAAGGTTTGTTCCATAACCCATATATATCTTTTACATCAAAATCAAAACTTTGATATATATGCAAAAATGCAAAGGTGGCCAATAGTCATTTGCACACATTATTCAGTAACCACCTCACTCTGTAGTAGTTAGAACATGATATTGCACAGAAAAAGAAACCTGGCTTAAAAAAATAAAACAGCTAACAAGTACATTTTTAACCTCTTCTAAGAGGTTCTAATTACTTACCCCAGGTTAAAAGCTGCGGTTTACATACCTGAAATATAAATTTAAGTTAAGAGCAACTGCAGAGTTGGAGCTGACAATCACTATAACATCCAGGTCTGGAGACACTTTCATTGAGGTAAAGGAAGAAATCTTGGCTGGCTCCTGTTGCTGTTCATTGTACATATCTTCTTGGTGAAGTGCTAAATCCACATAAGCTACATATGTGCCATTCACAGTGTCAAAAATATCTTTGAGTTAGAGTTAAAGAAAATGTTAGTTTTATAAATACATCTAGACATTTAAAATAGGATGAGACAGAACTACAGCTTTCATTGTTACAACCTGGAAATTCTATTATACCTACAAGATTGTAGCAATGAAAACATACTTAAAATTTGTCCAATAACTGAGTCAAGTATCAGCTTTCAAATCTAAAGCAAGTAAGTAAACTATTAATAAAAGTAAGAATTCAGAGGCTGGAGATTTCAGTGGTTCCGGCGCCTGCCTCACAAGCGCAAGGTCGAGTTCGATCCCTGGTATCAAAAAAAAGAATTCAGGTCCTAAGTCATGCTATACAATTTCCAATGTTCAACAGTCACATATGCCCAGTGATAACCTGGCAAAAAAATTAAGTTGCTCTAATGCTTTATGACAGTTTTATAAAACTAACATGTAAAATAGAAAAATGATCCTTTTAATTCAGAAATAAAAGTTTGAAAATCATAAATAGGGGGCATTTTTCAAATCTTCAAAATAATTTTGCTGATGGCCTATAGACCTAGAGACAAAGATCCTCTAATATTTTACAAAACCAAGTTAACAACAGTTAACCGAATTCACTTATCAAGATGGTGGAGAGCCCTGCATGGTGCACATGCCACCCGTGATCCCAGCACTCTGAGACCCCGTCTTAGAAAACAAAAACAAACAAAAGATGATGGAGTCATCACTGGACATAAGGGGTACATCATACATAAAAAGATATGCATTACATAATAAGCCTAAATCCACCCTGGAATGTTCACATAATAAGTGCTTTAAGAAACATAGATATTTTTGTTTTTTCTTTTTTCTTTTTTGGATTTTTGAGGCAGGGTCTCCCTCTGTAGTTCAGGCTGGCCCTGACCCCGAGGTGATCCTCCTGCCTCAGCCTCCCAATTGCTGGGATTATAGATGTGTACCACACCCAGCTCCAAAAAGTATATTTTGAATAAGTAATGCAGAGCATTTGCAATATTAAAGAATGAAAGTAGTAAAATGATTATGACCAGGGCCGGGGATTTAGCTCAGTGGTTCCACCACCTGTCTCGCAGGTGCAAGGACCAGAGTCCAATTCCCAGTACCAAAAAAAAACAAAAAACAAAAAAAGATTATGACCATATATACACACTAGAAGATTTGAACAGAATACAAATTATATGGTACTATTAAGTGCATGAGAATCTTTTTCCCTGAAAAGTTGAACTGGAAAACTAGCCACTCTCCGTAGATCCCAGCCCTTAGAATTGTTTCATGTTCTCTTCCCTCACACATCAGTCTACATCTTTACTGCCAAGGATACGGATCCAGCTTAAACTACTCAAAACAAAGAGAATTCCTCTGCAGAGCTGCGAGTCAATGATGGTGTCCACTGTCTGTACAGGCAAGGGTAATGTAAAACAGCTGAGTACTCTAATCTCAGCGTCTCTCTCAGGAAACACAACATGTAGGATGATACATTTGTTGATGAACAGTACTGATGTGTTATTGTGAAATGACAGAATTCTCAAAGACAGTAAGGAAATACCTATAAAACAAAAGGATATTTTAAACCCACTGCTCAGTTTTTTCATTTGTAAATTTGATCTTATAAGCATAACATAGGAAAACAAGAGTAATTGCACTTAGCCCAACTAACTCACGGCGGTAATTGTTCATACCCACCTAAGCAAGTGGTCACTGGGAGATAAGTGAAAGGAAGAATAAAAGAGCTTACAATGTCCATGGTTTCTTCTGTTTATGTTCAATCTGACAGCACACCGGAAGGAAGACTCAAAAAAGTCAACTTAGGGCTGGGTCTGGTGGCACGTGCTTGGAATCCCAGCACTTGGGAGGCTGAGGGCTGTCAGTTCAAGGCCAGCCTGAGGTACATAGTGAGTTTGAGACCAGCCTGAACTACATAATGAGACTCTGTCTCAAAAACAAAAACAGCCAACTTACCCAAGGGACCCCCATAATAACAATCAAAAGTCTCTCTCTCTCTCTCTGTCTTGGAAAATGAAGGAACCTTATGACCCAGGGTAGACAGTATGTTACTGCCTTAAAAATAGAGGCCTGGGTGCTTTGATTTCTGTTCCCTGAAGACATCAGGACAGGACATAGATCAGCACCGTCTGATAGAAATATGTAATTAATTTTTATATGTAATTAATTTTAATAATATGTATTATTGAGCCCATATCCAAAGTATTATTTCAACATCTAATATAAAAAAATATTGAGGTGATAAATGTAAACATATTGTATACCTAAAATGTACCAATAAAAAAACTTAAGAATAAAAAAAAAATCAAGAAATTCTGATTGAGGCTTGCAGAGAAAGGGAGGTCAGAGCTGTTTGAGTTCCTTGCCATTAAAAACGGGAATAAAGTTTAAAGAAGGAAGAGGAACAAAGGCCATATAGGCAGAGAGAGGATCATGGCAAGCAAATAAAATGCAGTTCCAGCCAAAAAGCAGGGCATTGAAACAGGCTGTAAATAAATGGCATCCATTTTCCAATGAATGCAGGATGGCGGGTCCCATCAGCCCTGAAAAGCATATTGACTTGGCAAACGGATTTCACGTTGACATTTCGCAGCTACCACAGGAACGACAAAGGCAGTAAAATACCAAAAACCAATCTGATCCTAGTGGCGATCGAGCCTCCTTAACAATGTTTTTGCACCACCGTGGATTCAGGATGCAGTGCTGGAGAGATGCTGCCCTTTCCAAACTTCCATGGAAATAGTTTCCATCATGTTGAATTTCATTTAAAATGAAATACAGGAGATATTAAAAATTCGTGTTAAAAAAATATGTTGAGGGTGGGAAATGTAGCTCAGTGGCACAGCGCCTGCCTGGTAAATGCAAGGCTGAGTTCAATTCCTGGTGCCAAAAAAAAATACTGAAATGATTCACTTATCTAGCACTAAGTTTTTAGTATTTGTGCTACCAAAGCAAGCACTAGCACTAAATTTTTAAAACCCAGGAATATGACATATAAAGCACATCTTATTTATACTGACCACAACTGAAGTATTCAATAGGCCCATGCTGTTAGTGGCTACTATCTGGACAATGCAGACTCCCTCACCGATTTCATCTCTATGAGAACTTTGCATGAAATACATAAAAATACATAAATACATATCACAAATTTAAACACACTGAAAGACCACCTGTATGTACTTACTGACACCTTGATCTTCAACGAGCTTTTGCAGAGTCTTTACACTACAGCTGTACAATACAGCTGAATCACATCTTCCATCTTCCAAATTAAATTCATAGATAAGCAGTTCATAATTTTCACTAAGAGCAAGCAATTTGGGCTTGTGTGTTGGTGTGCTGCCGTTATCAAAATCCTCCCACGTAAACCTAAAGGAAAAGTTTAGATTTCTTATATTCTATATCTACAATCACATGTATCCACAATAGTAGGCATGGAAGTGCAGAATGAGTAAAGTTTACTTCACAAAGTATCAATTCTACATTCCAACTCAACAATATAAACTACTCTAAGACTTCCCTCCTCTTCTCCCTTCCCTTTCTTCACTTCTTCCCCCTCTGCCTCTTTATATTAACATAACAGAAAAGTAGGTGATAAAAAGTGGGCATGGAGCAAAAAAGTCACCTTTTATTTCTTCACCTTAAATCCTGACTGATATATCTAAGGAAGCTGTCATGATCAAATATATGTATCAACAATTAAATATGCAGTAAATATTATTTATGAGATGGTACAATAAAATAGGCTTTTGCTAGGTTATATATTTTCAAAGACTTTAAAAGTAAAAATGATTCTTTGTATCCATCAACCCTGAAAGCTCAGCTGGCCATGGCAGTGCACGCCTGTAATCCCAGGTTTGGGGAGGCTGAGGCAGGAGGACTGCCCTGAGTTCAAGACCAGCCTGGGCTATATCGTGAGTTCAAGGCCAGTATGAATGAAATAGCGAGACCCTCTCTCAAAAAACAAAAACGTCTAGGGCCAGGGATTTAGCTCAGTGGTTTCACTGCCTGCTTTGCAAGCGCAAGGACCCGAGTTTGATCCCCGGTACCAAAAAAAAAAAAAAACCTCTGAAAGCTCAAAGATAATACATTAAAGAACAAGTCTGTCTAACAGAACTTTTTGTGATAATAAAAATGTTCTGTATCAGTGCTGCTTAAGACAGTAACTAATAGTCATATGTGGCTATGGAATACTTGAAATGCGGGTAGTAAAACTGAAGAATTGAATTTTAAACTTTATTTAATTTTAATACCCACATGTGACTAATGACTAGCATACCAGACAAAACAAGAGTTATAGAATTATTGGGCCGGGGATTTAGCTCATATAGAATTGTTAAAACACTGTATATGAAAACAATTCTGGCTAACAAAGATGGAAAGAGACAAACGATGCTACAACTTCAATTATTAAATTACATGTAAAAAATAAAAATAAAAGGGCCCAACACAGGTACAGTGGCATGTACCTGGCATGTAGCTATTCAGGAGGCTGAGGTAGGAGGATTGGTTGAGCCCGGGAGAATGCCAGACTAGGCAATATAGCAAGACCCTGCTCAAAAAAAATAAAAGGTCCAAATCAGAAAACAGTGCAGTAGAAAGAAATGACTACCGTGCTAATAAAATTTCATCTTGGAGCCGGGTGTGGAGTGTTGTAATCTCAGTACTCCAGAGGCTGAGGCAAGAGGGGAGGAGCAGGAGGATTGAGTTCAAGGCCAGTCTGGGCTATATAGTGAGTTCAAGGCCAACCTGAAGTGCAAAAACCAAAACCAAACAACAAAAAAACCTGCCTTCATCCCCCAACCCCGCTTTGTAGTTCAGGCTGGCCTCAAACTCATGGCAATTCTCCTGTTTCAGCCTTTCAAGTCCTGAGATTAAAGGCATGTGCCACCATGCCCACTGCTTATCTTTTATCTTATAAATTTTTCTTTTTCAATGGGCACATCTGTAATCTCAGTACTGAGGGAAGTGGAGGCAAAAGGATTGCAAGTTCCAGTCCCACCTGGACAATTTAGTGAGCCCATCTCAAGATAAAAAAATTTTTTAAAATGGGCTGGGGATGTAGTTTAGTGGTAAGAGTGGTTTTAATTCCCACTACAGCCAACAAACAAACAATCTTTGTTTTTCTAGCAAATTAGTAAGCTTTAAATCAGTAAGGGGAAGGGCTTGGAGCTATTAAGTCCTTATTAGAGAAAAAGACTAATAGTTCACATTTCTGTCTTTGTATCTGGACTGGTTTTTCATAAATACCTATTTCTGACCATCTATATTGAAAAATATCAAACATAGAAAAGCTTAGGTAAATTAATATCTAAAAGGTACACACTACTGTTACACCATTAAAATCATTAGCACGTGAACTGTCTTGCCACCTCGAAAGTCAGGTAATTCTGGATGAAAAGAACAAAATATGTAATATGCAGAAACTGCAACAATATAAAAGACTTAAAATACTTTGAGAAAAGTAGGAAGTAAACTCGTTTTTATACTGTAAGGTATTTTAGTTGAAGTTCAGCTCAATTCAGATTAAAAAGTCAAAAGGCAGCCTGTTGGTCCTCCTCACCTCTAATGTTAAGAACTGGCATGTGAGTACCCACATTATATCATTTATGTCTTATCTCCTCTAAGTTCTCATATGCCTACAGAATCTCTCATACAGAGAGAAAAGGTACTGCTTTTTTCTCTGCCCCACTCTACCAGGGTTGATACCTGATATTGCTGAATAACTTCTCTGATGGAGATTCTTATAACTAGCAACCAGAGATCAAAAATAAAGAAGGTAAACACAGAACAGGTTAAAAGCATTCACTGATTTAATTGTCAGGTACTGTTTCAAGGCAAGACATCTCTTAGGGCTACTCAAGGCGTTGACCTTTCAATGCCTAGTGTTCCATTTTTGGAACGCCCATAACAACGGAACATAATAAAATTTTTTCTCTTCAAATTCTTGTTCCTTGAATTTTTCTAGGTAACATATATGAATTTCATGCAAAAATCCAAAAAACAGCAATCTTTGGCATAAATAGGTTAAAGACATTTTTTCTAAACTATTTCCTATCAAAACCCCAAACACCCAATAGTTAAAAGTCATTCCCAAACTTTACAACATAAACTCTAAGTCGTGGACCAATAATTACAGAAATGGAAGATAACCCATTAATGTAATTAAATCGCTGTCTTCCCAAGTCACGGGAGCCTCACATGCAAGAACTATGTCTCACTCAACCTTATAGGCGCTGCTCCTAAGCAACAGTAGCTTCCTATTTGTTGTATAAATTATTAAGGGAACGGATCAACTGGACTCTCCCTGAAGAGGTAGAAAAACCTACGTGCGTAGGAAAACGCAAATCTCATCGATACACACACACACACACGCACAATCCGGACGACTTAAATTAGAGACGATCCCCAGTCGGCACCTTTAACTGAAGAAAGCGGGGACAGTCTTCCCAGGGTGACAATTAACCTGAACTGAAAGGGCCTTTCCGGGGTTGCCGGAGCGAGCAGCAGAGGAGGAGGAGGAGGAGGCGGGCCCGGGCCCTCGGGTCTCCCCAGGGTGTCGCCCTCCCCACTGCACACCCACGCCGCTGAGCTTCCCGCCTCACTTACTGCTGGAAGGGGCCCTGGAGGCCGCAGCTGCCCCCGCGCGGGCCGCCCGGCACCAAGGAAAGCACCTGAAGGCTGCCCGCGGGTGTCAGACTCCCGAGGGCCTCCTGCTTTCTGTGCAGCTGCGCCCGGAGCCCCAGGCGCCCCGTCGCCTCAGCAGGCACAGGCACCAACAGCATAGGTAGGACACACGCCATGGCCTCTGCGCGGCAACTCCGGCCTGCTGAAGCCGCGTTCCCGGCGCGCGGCCCGGCGGCGGCCATCTCAGCCCCTGCCGCTGGCCGCCGTCTCTCCCGGAACTCACTGCGCACTGGACATGCGCGGTGCTGCGAGCCGCTCAGGCGCTCCCTCGTGACTCCTCCCGGAAGCCTCGGGCGTCTCTGCCCTGTTGCTCTGTAAGTGAGACTGACTCTACCAAGTTCCGCTAAAGCCACAGTTGCTTGACCCTCACTCCGTTTAGCTACTCGGGAGTACGTGAAGGCCTAGTCTCGCTGTTGCTTTCTTAATTTGGCTATCCCCTCCTCGTTGTGGAAACCGGCTCCTGCCTTCTTCGCTTCTGAGTTGTTCCTAGACCATGGGTTGGTGCCACTTCCTTGGTAGCAAGACCCAGGCCTTACAGTTTTGATCCACCATAAAGGTTTTGACCTGAATGTTGAGGTCATTATCCATTGTAACAGGCAGAGAGATGGAATAGTAAGAGGTAGAGAGGGTAGAGCTCCCGTTTCCTTCTACTTTTCTCAGAAAAGTGCAATCAAAGATTGTCAGCAGAGGAGAGGAGTGGCCGGGTGAGGAGAGAGATGTTGGGTAGCAATGTGTTAAGTGCCTTCTTAACACATTCTTCCCTCCATTCTGAACGTTTCAGCTTAATGTAACCCCTAGTGACCGGCCCTCTCACACAAGTTCATCTAAAGTCGCTTCCACTCCAGTCACTAATCACCCAATTTTGTTTTCCACACAGTATTTATCACTACTCGGTATTTTCTGTCAGTTCCTGTCCAGCCAGAACATAAGCTTCAAAAGAGCAGCGGCTTTCTGTTGTTCCTTACCGTTACCTCTTGTCTAAAAAGGTGCCTGGTTCATAAAAGGCATTGTAGTTGATGAATGCATAATCTTGTCTGACAAAAATGAAACATTTCCTATCCTGGAGGAGATATTTATATCCAATCCATAGGGCTATTTTCTTTAAAAATTGGCAACACTGAAGCATCGTCCCAGGTTAAACTTTTGTTATGTATAACAAGAGCCTGAACCTTATAAGGGTATCTTAACACATTCACTCATGACTTTCGTTTTAGTTTCAAAACTTACAAATTTCAACACGTCATTTGATTACCTCTTTAATTATCTTATTAATCCATGCTTCATTTTTAGGAACATTTAGATTTTAAGAAAGGAAATGAAAATATTTGAGGCAGAGCTTTCCAATATCCCAAGGCATGAGAAATATCTTCAGACTGTCTGGATTGCTGTAGAGCACTCATACAACTTCTTGTGGATGATTAAGCCTCCTACATACCGGTAAAGGTATTCCAAAACAAACTGATCAGTAGATCAGACAACCCTACAAAGAAAACAGACGTTAACTGCAACGATTCCATTTTCTAAGTAATTGTTGTTTAATACCTGGCTCTTTCCAGACAGTAAAACTTGAGGCCAGAGTTAACCCCTAGTATTCATGCTTGTATCCTGGAACAGTTGTTTCTCAGATATTTCTTGAATGAATGAATAATTCAAATCAACTCTTGCCCTCAATATGACTATAAATAACCAAACACCTTGGAATAAATTAAAAGGTTTGGCGGTACGGTTCAAACTTGGGTCAGATTATTCAATAAATGCCAGAGTGTCTTGAACTACTTTGAAAGCACATTATCCTCCATGTTCTTAGCTTAACGTGTTTGAGATGGGGCCATAATTCATATATCTTGCTGCTGGCCAGCTTGAACCATCAGTGGTGCACGCATGACTGCCCCAGTTCTGCCACCATTGTACAACGTGTCCCATGGGACAGTCATGCATGTACTACCAGTGGTTCAAACCAGAGAAACTTGTTAAAAGAAGTGGGGCAGTGAATGACAGATTCTAGATTGGGCTTGAATCAGGGGCTGTGACTTTCTTTCTACCATCACTTACTCCATTTTGGCCTCCAGCTGCTGAACCAGTTGTTTGTCCATGAGGCAACAGAACAGGGGAAGCAGGTTGCTAGGGAAGGCTAGGGGTTCTGCCAGAGAGGCTGTAGGCATTCGAGCTATCTCCCGGGCAACCAGAACTACCATGTCTGTCCTAGAGGACAGAGAAGAAACACAGTCAGAGCCTTTGTATTTATGCAAGAAACAGACTTGGACCCAGTCTCAGTACTATCTCTCCACCACTATTATCACAAGCACCAAACCCCAGGTAGCAAAAGATAACAACTGCACATTTGGTATGTGCCAGACAATGCTTAAACTTTGTATATCTTCTTTTCTACTTAATCTGAATAACTCTCAGGAATCAGTATCATCACTAAAGAAACAGTAAGAAGTTGTATTGTTGCCAATTGACAGATCTAGAACTCAAATCTAGGTCTGTGACTCTAAAACTTACCCCCTTAATTACTGTTAATTACTGTTACTTCCCATGGAAGATCAACACTCTAGGGCACTATAAGAAAACAAAAACAAAACCAGCCACAACCCTGCTATTTCTTTCTGGGCCTAACCATCTCCCTAATAATGGAAATGCCACTTATTAAATCTCTCACCTGGCTCACAACCCAGGGGTACTGAAATACTATTGACAGAGCCTTTATGATCTTACCAAGCTGTGCGGTCCCTGTTGGGTTCCTTTAGGGAAGAATCCAGGGACACCAGCTGCTCCCCGTGACTCAGCAGGGCATAGAGCAAAGATATTCCAAACTGCAAGTGATATACACAGTCCAGGACAAAATGAGCTCACTTTAGGCATTTAGGGCTTTTTTAGTTCTGGTATCTTCCCAATTAAAGGGCAGATTAACATACATAGATGGAGACCAATAACCATAGGAGCTGTCAGGTTTTACACTGACCAGCCAAAGAACTTTGACTTTCCCAAAGGAATCACTGCTCTGAAGCTTCCACAGACCTCTCTTTGAGAGCTAATTAAATGTACCCTCCTGCACTACAACCCAGAATCAGGGAATAGATCAGGTATGGGTCCAAAAATTAGATGTAGGTAGTTTGTGGATCCCACAGAAAAGAAGCACTATAAGCAAAAATTTTCAGTGTGGGGTACACAAGACAATATACCAGAATGTTGAAAGACTATCAGAACTTTTACATCTAGAGTCACATCATTTTAAACTTTCTTGTATTTGTTATATACCTATTGTTACAGTGTTATATATGATTTATAAACACATGTATGGTATGGTTCAGAATTTCTTACTTAAAAGGCACACAAGTAAAAAAATTGGTGACTTCTGCTCTAGAGGCTCACACCAGCAGCAACATTAGAGAACTTGTTAGAAAAGCAGATAGATCTGGGAGTGATGGTGAACCCCTGTAATCCCAGTACTCTTGAGGGCTGAGGCAAAGAGATCATAATTTTGAGTTCAGCCTGGGCAACTTAGTGAGACCCTGTTTCAAAATAAAAGACCTGGAGGGGCCGGGATTTAGCTCAGTGGTTCTGCCACCTGCCTCAAAAGTGCAAGGTCCCGAGTTTGATCCCTGATACAAAAAAAAAAAAAATAGAGACAAAATAAAAGAGCTGGAGGTGTAGCTCAGTGTAAAGGCCCCAGTTTCAAACCCCAGTACCACAAGGGGCGGAGGGGGCACTCCTTCTGATTGACTCTATGGGTATGGGCCCAAGGAAATGGTGTCTAGTAAGCTCTCCAGGTGATCTTATGCTCACAAGAAGTTTAGAAGCACCACAGAAGATAAGATTTATGGAGAGAGGAGAACATTCTCTTACTTATTCCCCACTAGTGACTCAGAAGCCATCTATAGAAAAAGAAAAGCCTCCCAGATGTGTTACCTGGTTCTGAAGTACCACAGTGACCTGGTTCTCTGAGGAGCCAGGTGGTAGCAACAGTAGCCCCTGAAGTCCTTGGAGGAGTTTATGGAAGGTCAAATGACTGATGTATTTTCCCAGAGGCTTGAATAACATATGTAGGGCCTGAAAAAGATCAGTAAGCTTTTCTCCCAAAGTTCACTGTAACTTCACTTCCTCCTGCCTTGCAGACAGCCCCTTCCACTTCTGGGAACTGCTTTTGACTTTTTCCTAGTTAGATTACTTCCTGGGTCTTTCCACTAATTACTCTCCTTCTCTAATTCTGAGTCCTGCAGTATTCACCCATTCTATGAAGCCTTCCTTAAGGCCTCAACACTTATAGGGGGAGAAAGGATAGGCTTGTTTTCTTTCAAACATTCACAGCAGAAATCTGTGCAGCCATTCACCTATTTTCTTTTGCTCATCACACTGGATGATTTACTTTTTGTGTAGTAGTTTGTTCTGTAACTAACTTCCTCCCTTGAGAGGTGGGGCTAGCCCCACTCACTGTCAAGCAGGCACCTTGCTGACAATTCCAGGGGGTAGAGAATGGAGGGGACACAAGACCCCTAAGCCATTCAGAAGACCATCTTTTTCTACACTGAATTCATGGTACCTGGTCAGTCACATCCCTCCGGATCAGGAGGGGCAGATGCTGGGTAATAACCAGAAGAAGGCTAACAGCCTGATCAGGTAGCAGAAAGGGCAGTGGCCGGGCCACCAAGGTTTTCCCCTTCCTCACAGAGAGCACCTGCAGGAAGCTATCTGCTATCTCCCTGTAGAGGGAGAGAAGAGAGCACTTCAGAGTTTAGAACACAAAAGAGGGCCATAAACCAGGTATGGTAGTGCTGTCTGGTAATCCCAGCACTCTGGGAGCCTGAGGTAGGAGGATCACAAGTTTGAGCCCAGCCTGGGCAACCTAGTGAGATGGTTTCAAAATAAAAAATACAAAGGGTTGGAATGTAGCTCAGTGGTAGAACACTCCTGGGTTTGATCCCCAGCACAGGGAGAGGAAGGCAGGGAAGGAAGGAGGGAGGGAGGGAGGGAGGGAGCGAGGGAAGAGAGAGCACGAGAGTGCTATATGCTAGGAAGGAGGGATAGCAGCAAGACCAATGATTTTGCTGATCCTTCCTCCCTGGGACTCTCCCATACTCACTCTAGGTTGTTCTGCTCCTGGGCCTTTAAGGCTTGGAAGAGCTTCTCAACCTGGTTGTCCTGCTGCCCAAAGGGGCAGGGCTGTGGAAGCCCATCCTTCTGGCCCTCCTCTATCTCTAGTAACGGAAGGAACATCTGGAAATTTGAGAGTGGAAAAAGAAGAGGCAACTTTGAGCACTCTCCTGTTCTCAAAGACTAAGTCAGGAACTCCTCCCCAAGGAATCAGTATCTCACCCTCTCAATCTTGCATAATACCCGAAGCTTCTGACTGCTTGCCGCTGCTGGATCCTAGGAGAAGAGAGTCTATAGAGCCCAGCGTGGTGGAGCTCATCAGTAATCTTAGCACTTGGGAGGCTGAGGCAGGAGGATGACCACAAGTTTCAGGCCAGCCTGGGCTACATAATGAGTTCAAGGCCAGGCTGAGCTACGTAATGAGACCCTGTCTCAGAGAACTGGAGGAAAAAAAAGTGTCTCTGGCCATCAGCCACAATGCCACACAGCAGCCCAGGGTTCATATTAGCTAAACATTGAGCTGGAAAGACTAGACACAGTCTGGTTTTGCTGCTTCCTCACTCTTAGATTGCAATCTGAACCCAAACATGAAGGTGTTCTAGACCTTTCTTTGAAATGGGAGAAGAAAAAAAAGGTTCAGGGAAAGTAATGTTCCCACCTGCTCTTGAGTTCCATGAGATACAGCATCAATAGCTCGGCGAGGACTAAAACATGTTGATACAGCTACCTGGCCCAGGGAACCTTCAATACGAACCACTGTATGAAAGGAATTAGGAGACACATTCCTCTCCCCTTTCCACCCACCATTCACCCAGATGTCTATCCCAGGTCAGTAGATCAGCCTAGTCCTACCTGATTCATAAGCCTCTGCCTTCTGAACATAAGGTGTCACCAACTTAGGAGACTGAACCCTGTTCCTTTGTCCATGTTTTTCTTCGTCTGCCTTCTTCTCTAGCTTCTCATAATATTTCTGAGAATAGAAGGGGAAAAAAAATCTATGCTCATCTTCTGAATTTAGAATTAAGATTCTTAAGTATGATCTCTTAATTCATCCTCTCCTACAACAATCATTCTGGAAATGACTCTGGTACCTCAGCCTTCCTCGAAGCTGTTCTAAAGGGTTAAGCTCTGTGTCAGCTGTTTTGGGATTCTCATAATAATACTAGACAAGCTAGGCAACAGGGTAGAGAACAAAGTGGAGAGCCAGGAAGGTCCCTTGCTCCAGCATCTGCAAGATTCTGGCATTCTTTGTTCCAAGCTCATATGTTACACAGCGTCTGTCCTCTTCCACATTGTAACCCGTGGTCCCTCTTGTGCTTTCCTAAAGCAGAGTTTATCTGATGACCTGAGGACCATAAACAGCTCAAAGTCCAGAATAAGCACTACAGATGCGTTTGTCAGTTGGCTTTTGGACCAGTTTTATAAATTTTTGGATTTTCTCAGTAGTTCTCACATCTTCTTAAAACAAGTTGAGGAATCCTAAATTAAAATAACTAAAAGAAAGCCACTGATTATGAATTAGGAAAAAAAAGAAAAGAAAAGAATTGAATAGGCTTTTTTATTTAGGAGCAATGCCAAAAAAGTGAGTACAAAATTTTTCACTTTCAATGATCTTGGCAGAAAGAGGAAGGTTTAAATTAGTGGAAAGCAAAGAAACTAATGTAAATGGGAAGGAGGTAAAGGTGAGAACACTGGTAGGAAGCTTAAGGATGTTTAGTAACTCATGGAAAAAGTACACAAAGACTTGCCCCATAAATAAAAGGGAGACAGGAAGCAGGGGAGAATGAGTTAAAATGTCTGCCAGCACTTGTTTAATTCAACAAATTGAATCTCACAATTTAAGAGCCTCCTTATTTTTAATTTTGCTTTTTTGAGACAGGGTCTTACTTTGTTGCTCAGGCTGGCTTTAAATTCATGATAATCCTGCCTCAGCTCCCAAATGCTGGGATTATAGACACGTACCACCATACCTGGCAAGATCTCTGTGTTTTAAACCTAAAAAAATAGAGGAATGTTTGCAACAAGATATTTCTAATACTCGTGAAAGTGTGCAAACTTGGGAAAGTTTGTATTTCCAAGGTGAATAGGGAAATTTCTCGGCATAGTATGGAGACAAAGCCCAAGTGTTCGGGAAATCATAAATAATCCCATTTGGCTGAAGTGTAGACTAGAAAGGAAAGAACTTGGGATGTTAACTCTAGCAATGGCCCTTGTCCTGTAGTGATTGTCTCTCCCACCTGAATAGATAGGAGCTTTATAAGTTGAAGAGAGGATCAGAGAAGGCCCCCAAAGCTCCTTTGGCCCCCCAATTCAAAGCTGCCACAAAAACCTGGGGACTTACCTGATAGTAATAATCTTCCAGATGGGGGTTCTTGCTCTGCAGCTGAGCCATCAGCACTTTTGTCACCCAATCCTTCTCTTTTCGGGTCATGAGGTTAGCATAAGGGTCTGGCTGCTGAAACCAAGTCTTCTTGGCTGAGGAACTTCAAGCCAAGAGGAACATCCCTTTAGGCCTAATGACCCACACTGAAATTCCCAAGGAGGGGTGGGCAGGCAGTAGAGTCCTCTGGCCATGATGGGAAAGAGTGCAGTGTTGGACAGCAGCCTCAGATAGTGCCACCTGTGCAGGGGACTGGGGCAGATGTCTGGCCAGTAGAGAATACCCGGCCTGCAGAAGGCTCCCCTGGAGCTTGCTCTTCATTATGGCTTTACCTTGGTGTTTGACTCTGTTGCTGCTGCAGGATCCTTTGGTGCTGAGGGTGGAGCTGGGTCAGATGACTGAAAAATAATCTTGAGCTGGGAGGAAGGAAGCTCTGCTCCCCTGGCCCTCCAGGTAAATTCCAATGGACATCCAAGGGCTTCCTATTTGTTTATACCCCCCCCCACATCAACCAATAGGAAAAGGCACAATTCTAACTCCCCACCCTCAAGATGTATTTTCCTGCAATTTGGCTGTAGAAAATCTTGCAACAGTTGGAAAACTGCCTTGTCAGTTTTGTCACCTGACAATTTGAAGTGGACTTCAAATTTTTAATCTCCCTGTGGCTTCATTACTTCATCTGTGAGGGACAAGAGATTATACTATACTTCAAATTTCTGTATTAGGTGTCTGTAAGTGTTTTTCTGTGGCAACTGTTAGTGGCCCTCACCCTTTTCAGCCACCATCTCCTGAGGCCCCTAGAAAGAACTAAGCTTGTCACTGTAATTACTGGCACAATGAACCAGTACCTGAGCCTAGAAGGCCATGAGGGCAGTGAATTGCAGAAGAGAGATGAGTCTAGCAGGGGCTGTTGAGGTCCAAAATGCCGAGCTGGAGAGCTGGTGTTGGGAAATGCAGGCTGGAAAGAAATTGGTGACAGGTAGTGCAGGGACTGAGAGGAGTTCAAAGGTGGTGAGGGGAGCATCTGCCAAGGGAACCTGCTCAGGTTGTTTCTGTCCTGCCTTTATACTTTCACCTGCCTTTTCCCTTAAAAACAAAAACTTCCTCCCAAATTTTGCTGTGTTGGAGATCCTTCCAGCTAGCTGTGAGGGCGTCAGACAGTGATTCCTGGCTTTTTCACCAGACTTGTCACCTCTAGACGTCAGGTCATAGGTCCCTGACAATGTGTGTGGGGGGGTGCTTTTCAACACCTCTAGTTCTTGTCTCTATAACTAAGTCTTCCCTCAGGCTCTGGGTCTTTAGCCATCAAGGCAGCACTCTCTTTCCTCAGTCATCCAAAGACCTCATTGGAGCAGTTCTAATTCTTCCTGCAGGATTTCCTGAATCCTGGCCTCCATGTTCCCATTGTGCAATTCATTGAGGGAAGGTGTTCTATCTAGCCCTAAGTTTAATACTGCTCATCTGCTGAGATCTTTCATAGGATAGGAATGGGCTCTAATCTTTCCACATGAATGTTCATCTGCACCCATGGCTGGGCACACAATCTGCTATTTACCAACCTCTTCTACATGATGGGGCAGCTCCCATACCCACTCCTCATTTGGGGTGCTTTTCTCACAATAAGACAGCAGAAAGCAGGAAGCAGAGAGGAGGACAGAGTGAACATGATTGATGGAAACTCAGCATGCTCATGGATGGAGTCCTCTTCACCACCCAGTCACCTCCTCACAGGAGGAGGACTGGAGCAGACTCACCTGCCACAGAAAGTGCAAGGAGGCAGGTGACATCCCCAGCACACCAGGGCTCTTGATTCCAAGAGAGCTGAATAGACCTCTCTGGAACAAGGAGGAGAACCCAGGCTCCAATGGGCCCCTGTGGTATCGTCCACATTCACTCACATCCATAGGGAGGGATGTTGGAGGGGATGCAGAGCCAGTCATTTCAATACCTGGGACAATGGCAACCTGGCCTTCATATTCAAAAGACACCTGGGCTAGGGTCCCTCTTTCCCCCAAGAAGCAAGATGAGTGTCTCAGGAAGAGGTTGAAGGAAAGTCTGAGTCACCTCATTGCTACATGGTAGTCCTTGTCTCTCTCCACTGGTTATGGACACTAAGGGAACAAATACCAGGATGGACTGCTGAAACACAGGGACTCAGGTAACTGCCTTTAGGGGGCTGTGCACAGCCAGGACAAGGCCTTGTTTTTGAGACAAATCAGCATCAGAAACTGTAGTGGCACCAGGCAGGAAGAGGGACAGAGAGAGAGTCTCTAACTCAGTCTCAAGCCTGAAACAGAAAATGTTAAATTCAGAACCTTAGAAAGTGGTAGAGAAGAGGAGAAGTATGTTGTGTCAGTCTGAGCTGTGGACAGTTGTGGTCAACCCTTTCCCTAACTCCTGCCAGGGCACCTGCATGTAATGAGTGGCATCGAGTGCAGCTGGATCCCCAAGATCATTCTCTTCTTCATCAGGGTCTGTGACCAAATATGGATCTAAATCCTCCTCCTCTGCCACTTTGTTTTTCTCTTCTGCCTTAGGAATCATGGGGCCACACAGCCTGCCTGGCCTTTGGTGTAAATGTGGGCCTGTGGAGGAAGAAATAGGTTCAGTATGAGGAGTCTGGGCTAGACTGGCTGCTACTCTAACATTTCTGTTTGTTAGTCATTTCTAGAACCACCTTTGGCCCACATCTCTGTTCTAAGGGTTCTCAGCCTCCCTACCTCACTGTACCCCAAACCGTCCCCCACTAATGTAAATCGAACCTAACAGGTGCCAAGGTTTACTGGCCGCGCTGCCTCCTTGATGACCTCATTAAGTCCCTCACAGGCTTCTTCTCCAGCTGCTTCTCCTACCAAACAGCCCCTTCTGCTGCCTCTTTAACTGAACAAGTGCCAGCTGCTCTGACTCAGTTTAACCCTGCGTCCCGGGTAATTTACATGTATCTATTCATTGAACAGTTATGCCAGGCTGTCAAGGCTGTTGTAATTTTACTACATAGGCAAGGAAAATAAAGTCTATGAATGTGATTTCAAGTCACCCCATGTGATGTAGCTAGCAAGTGGAAGAATTTGGAATCACTTCCACTAATTCTGGTGCCCAAGCTTATGCTGAAGCAGACTAGCAGGCCTCCATATCCCAGCTTTTTGGCCAACTTGGTTATACCTTCGAGACATTTCATCTTGGTAGGCTGGCAGTCTTCCTCTAAGGCTGTGTCCTCCACTGAGAAAGCATTGTCAGCCTCTGGAAGGTAAAGCTGGGGCAGGGAAGAGACTTAAGAAGACTTAAGAGACTTAAACAGCCACCCTTAGCCTCCTCTAGGGAGCTGCTCTGCAATGAGACAGAATTAAAGGACAGGGATAGGAGTTGGAAGAGAAGCACTTCTCACACGAACACCACCAGCCACCATCTGTGCACAATGAGACCTTGTTGCTGACACCCACCGCTTGACTGTTGCTGTTCTTCCTGCTTAGGGTAGCCATGGCAGTCAGGGCCTATTTGCTGCTCTCAGCTTTAAAGAGGCCCCAACTCCTCCCTGCCCTCACCTGTTAAAGGGCCAGCATCCCTCCAACCACTGTTCTCCACATTGTTCACTGGAAAATTGTGAGATTGCATTCCATTTAATCTCTAGGTTTTGCTTCAAGAAAGCTGTATGTGCATCCTGCTGAGATTGCTTAATAAGCAAATTCCTGTACATTCAGGAAAGTGTACTTCAGGTTCCCTCAAGTCCACCTGGTACTTCTGGCCCTTCAATGGGCCACATGAGCTTAATCTGCTACCCAGCTCACTGATGAAGGACTCTTATGAATTTAGAATCTAGATCTTCAAGGTAAAGACACTTTTTCTTGAGGTAACATAATTTTATCTCTTCTTGAGTGCTCTAATGGAAAACTGGTCCAGAACCTCAGGAGAAAAACAAATTATCACCAACAAAACAAGTATGTTACTACTGCTTGTACATGCATCTGAGTTTCATCTAAACAGTGATCCCAGGTTCTGTGCCCACATCCTGTCTTCAGCTGACATACATACGACTTTGTAGAATTTCTGAATAAAAGGTAAGCTAATTCCTCTATATCAGAAATTAAGTTAGGTTACTGTCATGGTTATAAAACCATGATTTTTGGTGTTTCCAAAGGAAAATATTTATTTTAGAAGTTCTGCTGTGGGCCAGAACTATATATGTAGGAGAAAAAAATTTAAGTAGCTTCATAGTGAAAAATATTTCAAATATCTGAATTGGGTTTAGGCCTTTTGGTAAATTTATTCATTTGTTTATTCCAAGAACCTCCAAATAATTTACTTTGGCATTACAGAGAAAAGGGCCAAATGTGAATTCCAGTGTTCCAGAAGTGATTCATTTAGGTTTTTTGAGAGACTAGGTCTTAGGGAGAAATAATTCCTGCATGCAGATTTTCATTCTGAAGAGTCTTCCTGTTGGTACTAGTACCAAAGCACATAGACTAGGGCCTGGTGATACAGCCCTATAATCACAGCACTCTGGGAGCTGAGGCAGGAAGATTGCAAACTTGAGCCCAGCTTGGGCAGCTTAGCAAGACCTTGTCTCAAAATAAAACATTTTTAAAAGGGGTGGGATGTAGCTCAGTGCAAAGGCCCTGGGTTCAATCCTCAGTACCAAGGAAACAAAAAGTATTTTTGCAGGTAATATGCTGTTCATTGTGCCAGAAGCAAAATGAAGCTACAAAGGAAGAGTGGTTTTAATTGTAAGGTGATTTCAGATGTTTTATTGAATTTTCTAATGTAATATTATAATTATTTAAATGGGAAAAACAAACTTGACTCAGGCTTCAGCTCCCTCAGGAAGCCTTCTCAGATACCCTCCTCCCTTATGGGCTGGATTGAGTGATTAGTTACCCTTTTTAGATGAGCTCACCAGTCCTTATACCTTTTTCTCATTGTGCCCACCAAGTTCTGGTAATTTGGGATCCTCTCTCTCTCTCTCTCTCTCTCTCTCTTTCTCTGTTATTGGTGATTGAGTTTAAGGCTCCACACGTGCTAGGCAAGTGCCTACCACTGACCAACATTCCTGGTCCTGTAGGTCTGCTTCTATATTTGTCATCCTATGGAAGAGCAAGAGTGTGTCTTCTGTGTGCCCCCAGAATCTACCCCAGTATCTACAAGAACTGAAATGAAGACAAGTGGTACTAGTCTGTAATCCCAGCACTCGGCAGGCCAAGGCAAGAGGATCACTTCAAGTTTGAGTTTGAGGCCAGTCTGGGCTACATAGTGAGTTTAAGGCCAACATGAACTACATATCAAGACCCTGTCTAAAAACAAACAAACAAACCAACCAGAAAAAGAAAAATAGTGGTGCTTCCTTTCAAAAACTTCACCCAGGGTTTGTTGCTAGTATGAAAGTTGTTAAAATCAAAATGGAGTCACTTGTGTCACACTCTAATGAATATAAAATGAAGCCTAGGAGGTTATAAAAGAAAGAACTTCATACTTGATAACAAGAACTGTTGAAGCTAGAGCCACAACCTTGCACAAAGGACACTATAACCTTACACAGAAAATACTTCTCCAAGGAAAGCTATCCAAAAATTGTCTGGAGATCCAAAACACTAAAAATTCATCCCATTCATTCCATCTATTCCACTTCTAGATATCTTCCCAAAAGAGTTAAAGACATCATCACAGTGACGTGTATCTCCCCATGTTAGTAGTACAGCTCACAACAGCTAAATCTTGGAAGTGGCCTATATGTCCATCAACAGATAATTGGATAAAGAAAATGTGGTATTTATACACAATGAAGTACTACTCTGCTATCAATAAAGATAAATTTGAGTCATTTGTAGGAAAATGGATGTACCTGGGATCACAATGTTATGTGAAATAAATCAGACAAAGATCTTTCTTTCTTTTTGTTTTTTTGTTTGTTTGTTTGTTTTTTGTTTTTTGAGACACGTTCTGGCTAAGTAGTTCAGGCTGCCCTTGAATTCACTATGCAGTCTAGGCTAGCCTTGAACTCATGGTGATCCTCCTGCCTCAGCCTGCCAAGTGCTGGGATTACAGGTGTGCACCACCATGTCCAGCTCACAAGTTTCAATGTCATGTGGTTTCTCTTATATGAGACACCCAAGGCATAAATAAAGGCAGGAGAACAAGATGGCAGAAACCACCAAAAGCAGACCACTGAGCTCTGTGTTGGATGTATGTGGAAGGGCAGGGGTGTGTGTCAAGAGGTTGTATAAAAACAATAGTTTTAGTTAGCTTATGAATAAGGCAGCTAGCTAGGGAAAAGGCTGAGGTGGAGTTGGATGGAGTTGGATCAGCCATACTGATAAGAATTAAAATAAAAATAGACTGTGAACTAAGATATTGGATGAAGATTGAACTTCCTCAAGCAACATGGAATGCAACCCCTCCCTACCAGAGGGAGTTGCAGCCACTCTGTACTAAGCTCTTGAGTTTCTAAGAATTAAAAAATGCAACATAACCGTTTCTTTCTCTAAAATCCCAATTTCCTTTAAACTCTACATGCTGAGTAACTGAGTTAGCCAGGTTCTAATAGGTCATTTTAAACTAACAGAACCACCTGTGATAGGCAGCAACTAAACAATTAAGTGATTCCCCTACTCCACTTATCCATAAAAAGTTCTGGACCGAGGAGGAGTCATGTGGAAAGTCCAATTTTCAGATTCCCCTCCTGGAGAAACCAGGAGCCTTTTCTCTTCTCCTTATTTTCAATAAAAACTTTCCTAACTTCCTCTTTTTGGTTCCCTTCTTCATTCCTCAATGCTGTGTGACTATGAGCTTGATTTGCTCAGAATTAACTGTTTCAGCTGTTCTATATGCCAGCACTTTCAGACTCAGTCCCCTTTAAAGGGGACAACTGACTTGGCCTCTCAACTTGGAGGGTGAGACTGTCCTTACTGGCTTGAGCTTAAACTTCTCAGGGGCCTATGTCTAGCCCACTCCCACTTGCACCTGTCTCTTGTGGCGGTCTCCTACCCAGTCACTGTGTTAGCATGACCCCAGAAACTCTGAAGTGTAGTTGTTCTGTTCTGTAGCTCAGTCTTAAACAGTTAACCTTCCCAAATGGCTCCTGACTAAACCCTCTCAAATATAGTGGGTGCTGCACTGGATTTCTTCTCCAATCCTAGCCTGCCATGTGCAGTGAGTCACATTTGGAGAAAAACCCTATTCTATTTTTGTAGATTACTACAACAGTGGGCTTTTCTTAGGGCTACTGCTGCTGGCCTAGTCTGTTTTTTCTCCTTGGAGTTGCCAACCCTCCCTGAACTTACCTTGTGTTAGTGGAGACAGGTCCCCCTCCCTGGGAGCCAAGTTTAGCTTTCTAAACTGCTTCATTCTTTTGTTTGCACTGTGCTCCATTTTTCCAGTTTCTCTGTGGCTTCTAATTTTCCTGTCAGTTCTCTCCCAATTGCTGGAGATCTACAGTGTGCCCTACGAAGTGAAGGTTCAGAGTTTGAGGCCACACTTGTTCACAGATTTTTTTTCCTTAGAACCTAATAAATGTTTGAGGAAATCCCAAATATCCTCCATAATTGTTTTTTGGCAGGAGGTTTGCAAGTAGCCAATCTGAGATCATTATTCAATTCTTGCTGCTGATAGGCTACTGCCCTGTAATTGATCTCCAGCAGATGCACAAGACTTCCAGCATCATAACAGGGTGCTGTACCATGTGCAGCTATCTTTCTCGAGTGTTCTCAGTTTTGTTCTTCTTAAAGCCCTAAGATTCCTGAGATACTGCCAGAATACCCTGCACTGTCTAAGGCTTTATTAATACAGTATTTTATTAAATTAAATTATATAGGCTGGAGGGCCGGGGATGTAGCTTAGTGGTTCCACTGCCTGCCTCTCAAGTGTAAGGTCTGAGTTCAATCCCCAGCACCAAATACAAAACAAAACAAATTATATAGGCTGGGAATATAGCTCAGTGTCACAGCACCTGCCTGGCAAGTGCAAGGTCCTGAGTTTGATTCCTGGTACAAACAAACATACAAACATAACATAACTGTGGGAGACATCACATATTTAGGGTTTAAACTGTAAAAATAGGCATTTGTAGTTATTTTTCTGAGCATATCTGAAATTCATGGTGTTTCACAATTTGTGAGTGTTCTAGGACCCCTACAAACTTTGGGAGTCCACTGTACTTATTTCCTTTTTCATCAAGTTGTTTTCTCAGCACTTGATTTCAAGTACTGAGAGGCTGTATTTTGCTGTCAGTCTTTACTCTGTCATTTTTAATCTCTTTGTAATTTCCTCTGTTTTTTTAACACAGCAGCTGATTCTAATAGCTAACATATTCTTTTAAAAAATTTTAGTTCATGTTTGCATTACATAATATTTATATTCCTTGTGTTGAATTGGTACATGTATATAACATATCTTAATTCCTTTTTTGTAATCCCCTTTCCCTCCTCTCCATCTCCCTCCATCTTTTGATCCATTTCCCATTTGAGAAAGATCTATCTCCCTACTTTGTATTGTTATCGGGTTTTGGGGTGCTGGAGTCTCCTTCTAGAGGTGGTTTCTAGGTTCTTTCTGTCCTGAGCAAAGAATTGGTCAAGACAAATGCAAATGATAGTAAGGTTTTATGTTTGACAAAGGTAGGAAAACAAACAGGCTCTCCAAAGCAAATTTTGGCCAAGTGAAAATAGGAAAAGAAGTACATCCTACTGCATGAGGGTAGACTATTGTGCAAGAGAACACTGGTAAAGAGCTCACTGTCAACTGTCTTTTTGTATCTTCCACTCCTTAGGCTGACATCAGGTCTAGGCCATCTAATCTAAAACTGCTGAAGTTCTCAAGAGAAGCCCACATGCAGGGCTTTGGGAACTGTTCTGCATATGTGTCCAGGATCTTACAGTTAACAGGTCATGTCTACTTTCCCAGCCAGCTCTTGCCACATCTTTACCTACTATCTCATTTTCATGGGTTATAATAAGAAAAAACTAGAACTATCCCCTATTCATATAATGAAATGCTATTGTTAGGGGGGTCTGGGATGTTGTACTGTTTTCAGGGATCCTTTCCAGATACTTTTTTTTTTTGTAACGGGGATCGAACTCGGGTCCTTGTGCTTG